TACAAAGAGGGCTTCAAAAAGTTTGTGAGGAAATGGAATTAGGAGATAATGCAATGTTTCCATGAAACTTTTGAAGCCCCCTTGTAATAGAAGAGGCTGATGGCGTAGTGCTTATGTCTAAAGCTAATCACAAGGTCAGAGCTACTAGCCAAACCATGGGAGAAAAAAGAGACTTTCTACTCCAGTGAGGAGTTAGTCAAGAATCAGTCTCTGCACAGAACCCAGGTGCAGGAATGGGCACAGCGAGCGATGTAAGTGTGGGGGAGGGGGAGGGACAGAGACCATGGGGGGAGACAGCAGTCATTGTGAGATCTGAAAATAATAATTCACAATCAAGGGGTCACAAGGAGGGAGGAGCTGATACCAAGGGCTCAACAGACTCCAACTGACATATCATAGACACTCAAGCAGCTCTAAGACTCAGTCATCAATTCGATTTCGTCTCACAGTAACCCTAGAGGACAGGGTAGAACTACCCTTGCGGGTTTCTGAGTCTATTTTACGGGAGGCAAAACCCTCATTTTTCTCCCCTGGAACAGCTCTTTGGAGAGGTCTACACTGGTAAAGAACTGACTAGGCAATAATCAGCATCCTATCATGAGTGCATCATCATACAAGTATGTCCTATGGGTATGTCATCTTGGAAACATCCTCCAGTCAGATCTTTAGATGTCTACAACCCTAGCTGAAATCTTGATTGAGACTTAAAGAAACTCTACAAGGAGTCAGAAACACTCAGCTTAGGCACTCCCACATTCTTGACCCCTATAAACTATAAAAGCTTGTTGAGAATAAATTAGAATTCACTATTAAAAGCACATCATTTATACTGTGAAAATTAGAACCCACTATCTTACTTATTACCAGTATGCATATGTAGTGAAGCCAACTCTCCCTAAAACTTCCCATTTAGGAAGTTTTAAAAATGTGTTTAGCAGTTCTGAGTACCAAGGAAAACAAAACCTACTCGACTGGGTTTTAAAACTCATTCCTGCTAACAAAAACAGGATGGACAAAATTTAAATAGGTCTTTAAAAAATCAAATCTGAAAACTGAATTTAAAAGACCTAAGATGTAACATCAAAAACAAAACAAAGACCTATAGATAGAGCTCTATTTTTGAAGCCCTCAAATTATCAATTTCAAGGAATACACAAACTGGTCCATCACCATCTACAAAGCATGAAAGAAGACATAACTCCTGTCACTCAAAACTTAACTGTGGTAGCAACTGTACAGTAATGCTTGATGTGACTGAACGATTGAATAATTTATCTGTATTTACTCCAAATAAAATGGTCTTGGGGAAAAACAAACTCCTGTCACAGAAAACATTTTTAAAAGAAGTGAAAGGAACACTGTCTTTTCCCCCTTCAATATGCCAAATACACTAATACTCTAAGGTCTACTAAAGTTAGCCAAGTCAAAGGATGTATTTTAGATTTTCATTTTGGTTACAGGACAGAACAGAGAAAAGGTAGAATGAGACTGTAGGCAAAACAATGAATCAGTAGATTACTGCTATAGTCAATGACCAAGTTAGGATATGAGGAGGGGCTGAACTATGGAACATAAACATAGGGGAGAAGTAAGATACAATTTAAAGTTCGCATAAATGAGATACGGGTAATGTCCTTAATTAACAGAAACACAGATAGAAGAAATAGGTTAAGAGAATAATGTCTGATGTATGAAAGGAACTAAGCAGATTAGGGTAAAAATAAAACTTTCCAACTTTATTACAGATTACACTTGACAAAGTTCAATCAGTTCAAAGGAGAAAACTAAGGGCAAAGGAGGTTTGGTAAATACAAGGTGAAACAAGCCCTTTTCTATACCTTCCATATCCTACACTCAAAGTCTCATTTTCATTCTCCAGCCATTATCCCCTTTTTCTGCATTGCTACCTTATTTGGATCTAAACAGCTTAACATTTTTATCAGAAGTAAAACAGAAGTTGGTGGGGTCTAAGTTTAAATTCTATTTTCATTTGCTTATTTTACTTTCAGACTAGAAGTTAGTCTTATTCCCTTGTCCTATAACTCTCCAAATTTTCTTCTTCTTTCTGTTCATTGTTCATTTGCTTTCTCAATTTTAAAGCATCAAGAACTTTACACATAAAAAAACTATGTCAAAATTTTTCTCAGTTAAAAAAAATATATAGAGCTCATTATGTGCCCAAAAAGCCACTGGTGAAGGAGATCCAATTATAATTGAAAACTACAGGGAATCAAAGTTAACATCCAAATAGCTACTAACAACAAAACTAAGTTTACCTTTTATCTCTAAATTCTCTTACAGCCAGAAATGCTACATTTCGGTTTTTCAATAAGTTCACTTAAAAATTTGAAGTCCCGGAAGCGGATACCAGGGGCTCAACTGGGAAGAGAAGGCTTTGAAAATGATGATGGCAGCATGTGTGCAAATGTGCTTGACACACTGGAGGAATGTAAGGATTGTGATAAGTGATGTAAGAGCTCCCAATAAAGTATTAAAAAAAAGAGAATTTGAAGTCCCTCATATGACTAAAGAAAACAAAAAAATACTGGGGAAAATATTCAAAAAGAATGAGTAAAGTCCTCAAGAAAGACATGCAAGTGTGATATAATATTAGGTAAAGTGTATTCGGTGTACAGTCAGATAGCCAGGAGACTTGGTAAAGACTCCAATCACAATTTAACTCCAGGATCAACCTTTCCAAATCTTAATTTTCTTATCTATACTACTGTAATTATAATATTTGCCCCATAGAAACTATTTTAAAATATACACTGTAAACTACATAAAACACAATCATCATCTGTAAACTTCAGCTATTATGATTACTATTTTTAGATCTACAGGATGAAAAAAAATGAGAAAAAAGGAGGGGAAAAAACAGGAAAACAGAAAGGTGGAAAAGGGGCCACTTTTGTCAGAAAAAAACAAGCAACAGTTGCGCCAATTACTCACTAGTGGTGTTTCCATCATCAGAAAATCAAATACCAACAATATTTATCAAAATTTTCGAATAAATTAATCTGTCCCTGAACAACTTATGTACAACGTTCACAAGTGTATGCAAGGGTTAAAAGTAATTGTTAACAAAAACCCTAGTCTCTGGAGTAATCTTTATATTCTACCAACTAAACCACATCCACTGCCCCTCATCCTGACTCATAGCTTAGGATATTGTCAACACAAGGAATTTAAAGGAAAGCAATCCCAGATAAGAAATGTAATACAGTGAACCCTCGCCACTTCGCGCTTCGACTTCCACAGCTTCACTCTATCGCGGTTTTTGCGTAACAGCGCATGCTCTGTCATTACTGCCACTGATTGGCTCATACTGTACATGCTTGATGCCATAAATAATATAATAAATGATCATTGTAACGTCCAAAATGTTTTACTGTATTTTCCCTTTTTCGTTTAATAAATTGGGTAATACAAGTGTAATGGTGACTAAAGGGTGTTTTTTCATGTCCTCTATGCTCTAACTACGAAAATATTTGATTTACAAATAAGGAATCCTACTTCGCAGAATTTCATTTATCAACGGTAGGGTCTAGAACTGATTAACCGCAATAAACCAGGGTTCACTGTATCCTTCTCTATGAATAAATCAAGCTCATTTATTTTCAGTTCAACTTCTTAATCATAATTAAGATGCATATTCATAGACAGGATTTAAAATGTATATTCTTAAGACAAGTAACTTGAGAAACTATTAAGCAATGTGTAAAATATGATTTCCCAAATTGTGGGGGAGGGGTTGTTTCTTCCCAGTTTTATATGTGTCAAGATAGAAGTTCCATTAGAAGTGCTACACACAACTCTCATAGAGAAAACACATACATTACTACAGAGCAAAGTACTGAACTCTATGTCTAATCTCAACTTTCAGTTCACCATTACTAGAGAGAAGTTCTGTACTCTCTAATCTCAACTTTTATTTCAGAAAATAAATTTTATACAATATATCAATACCTTCTTTGCTTTGGACTCTATTATCTCTTTTGCTCTAAATGTGCTAGCAGGATTCAAGTTTAGCAAAATGAGTTCTGTTTCGAAATGAGAGCAACTGTCATTAGACAACTTTGGCGAATTGTTCAAAATATACCACCTTTTATCTCAGAAAGGTAGCTAAATAATGTTAACTCAAGTTAATGTTAGCTACATTAATTTCTTTACTAATTTTCATTTGCTTAAGATAAATTTTGAGTTTTTAAAAAACAACTCACTGAATAATGCCTGAGTCATTTAAGAACTAAACATAATAAGGAATGTTAATTTAAAACACCATTTAATTCTGAAAGACACAAGTATCATTAAAAGATCATTTGTCAAAAGGGCTTCTATTAGAGCAATTAAAATGCACAACTTTTTACAAAGCCATACTTTTTTATAAACTTAAGCCAGTATAACCTTGGTGGGAGGGAGGGAAAAAAAAAATCAGCACTTTTTTTCTACAGATATTTAAGTTCCCAAAGCAGTTTGCTCTGGTTTTTTAGGTTTCAGTTCCTCGTAATTTTTCTTATCCTTGTTTTGTTTCTTAGGAAATTGTTCTACACATTTAATTTCTGTAATGGACTAAAATGTTGAGAAAGGGCATGCCTTCAAACAAGCTATATCATGAAACATCAGATTAAAAACTTTTTGTTTCACACACTATAATTCCACACATTTAGAATGTAAACTTTCTGCCAAAATATGTGAAATATTTGTTGCATCTTTTTCTACCTTCCTGCCAAACTATAGACCCAAACAGCATAAGGTGCATTATTTATCACAAAAAACGTAATTTCTGCCTTTAAGCATGCAAAAAATTTACAATTTAGAACTTCTGAATTGGAAATATTCCTATTTTCTAAGCTGCACTTTTACTCAGATAACGTAAATTATCACCAATAGTTGTTTTTCGACTGTCCAGGAAACTGAAGCCAAGCATTATGGCGAAAAAATGAAAAGTACCTGAGAATAAACAAAATAGTTTACAAACAAACATTGAATTTGCTCACCAAATAGTACTTACAAATCCCACAGGACTGCACAGGAAGGTGTTGGTTTTTCCTCTGTAATCTTTGTTTTCCAGTTTGTTTTTTTATTTTGTATCCTCTGAAATAATTTCCAAGTTCTTTGAAGATACTTAACCTATGGCTATTTGACATAGAGTTATTTCAAATCAGCTACCCATACTTCTGTAAAGTTTTCATATGGCTAGCTCCAGAATTAGCCAAGTCTCTTGGATTTAAGATTGTAAAGTCTTCGGAGGCCTGTCTTCTTTATTATTCCATGTACTTGTCACTGTTGTACTAATCCACTCCACATGAAATATCCAATTTATGAGCCAAAAATCAAAAACAAAAAGAAAATGTCACATCTGAAGAACATTCCTAAAGCATCAGCATATACAGGGAAGACACACAGCTATCTCAATACTACCATGCTGCTGGGAAACGGCAACATCTTAAATTTCCATGTAAATAAAAGATAAAAGGAAAAAAACTTGGTATTCTTTCAATGTCTTCATTTAGAAGAGCTGTCGCATTGTGCCAAGAAAAGGGCCAAAATCAAAAATTCCTAAAACTTTTTAATAAAGGTAAAAAAACTACCACGAAACTTCAGCAATATTTAAACAATAATCTGAAACTGCCAAAAACTACTCGGTACACAACTCAAACATATCTTACAGTTTTGGGCTGAAGAACACCAACAGGGGGTAAGAGGGTAAGAAGCAAAAATTCCACCAGCTGAAATACTTTAATGAGTTATATAATCCGTTTGAACCAAAATACTGAAGAAATGCCTGGTCTCGTTTTAAGTAGCTTGTTGAATTGTTCACTATTATCAATTCACTTCAGGGTTGATTGTTGCCAATTTTTAACAAACTTCTGGAACAAAAATATCCAAAACCATTGTAATTCCAAAATGGCCACTTCAACTATCCAGGGCCTTTTACACACACAAGAAAAAAACCCTAGAAGATGATCTTCATATCTGAGTTATTCAATCACCTGAAAAAGTTATAACAAAAAAAAAAAAAACTTAAATTACACACGGTTTTGCTTTTGCACTACAAATCTATCCCTACCCTACAGCGACCATCTCTGGAGAGAAATCCACTTCTGGAAGCATTCAACTGGGGCCTGGAAAAGGACTTTGCCCAAGCAAATATCCAACAAAAGTCCACTATGGGAAAAGGGCTTTAGAGCATAGAGGGAGAAAGAAAAGTGGGGTGTGGGAGCTGCACGGACAAGTACTGATTTGGAGAAAGAAGGGTGAGGACCTAAAATGTGAAGGCATTCTTTCAGCCAACCTTCTTACACTCCGTGGGTAAATATTAAAAACTATGACACTGGCACGCAGTTTATAAAAGGTAGTCTATTTGCCACCCAAAGGAAAACGGACAGGTGGGCTGACAACGAAGCCTTACTCAATGTAAACTTCAAGAATTCGAGGTATATACGGAGAGATGTTCCCTCCAAATTGGAACGTCTTTTAAAAAAGAAGCATTATTTCCACAGAAGGGAGAGAAAGGTGGGTTAAGTTCAATTCGCCAGAGGGTGAGACTCCCCCGCTTCCGAGCGAGGGGAGTAAGGGGATAAAGGTGTCGGGTCCCAGTTCCTCGAATGAAGGAAACAGGTTTCTCCCAACGCTGAGGTGGTGGAAGGGAAGGAGCCTCGCTGGTAAACCACGGGGTGATTAAAGCGGGGGGAGGTTCGGGGGGGGGGCACAAGGTAGCACTCGCCCCGGTGGCCGGTAAGTGCCAGGGGCGTGGGAGAGGCGGGGAGTCCGGGCGCGCTGCTGAAGCAGCAGCCGAAGGCCACAGCTCGGCCTCGGCCAGCCAGCCGGCCCTCCGAAGGCTATGGTGCAAAAGGAGGCGGGCGGCCGGGCGGCCGAGGCCGGCGGGAGGCAGACCGAGCCCCGGGGACGTCGGACCCACTCCCTGCCTCCGCCAACCCCCACCCCCGCCGCCAGACACCGGGGCTGAGCCGCCCTCCCCTCCCCGCAGCCATGCACCTCCGCCCTCCGGGTTCAGGTCGATACCTAGACGGGCCTTCCCGCGCCTCCGTCCCTTCTCCCTTCCAGCTGCCCGTCCCCCTCAGCCCGTCCTCCGGCAGCCTCACACCTCGCGCCGCCAACGCCGCTCCCGACCCCTCCAACCCCAACGCCGACACGGGCACCCCTCCCCCGACACCGGCGCGGAGCCCAGAGAACGCTGTTACCTTCTGCCCCACCAGAGGTGCCCCTGGCCTGGGGGTGCCGCTGCGCTCGATCCCGGGAGAAGGTTTTCGGTACTTTGAATAATCCCCTTTTGCCGCTTTTCCCTCCCCCACAACCAGTCTCGGTCCCAAAATGGCGCCGACCCGATCCGCAATGTTCTGGGCCAAGTCTCGCGAGATCGTGGAGGGTGGCGAGGCGGGGAAGGAACTACAGGGATATAGGGGGGGGGGGCGGAAAGGCGGGGCGAGGAGGAAGAGGAGGGAGAAAAAGTGTAGAAAAAGCGCTGCAAAGGAACCTACTGGGCGGGGCAGCAGGAGGAGCGACTCCACGAGAGAACCTTCGGGCCCAAGCAACAGCTCTCGCCTGGGTCAAAGAAGCTCCGCCCTCCACGTCGGCGCCTAGGGGAAGGGTGGGGCGGGGCTATGCTGGGAGGCGGGGTTTCAGGGCGGGGCTTCGAAGCAGCCCGGGAGGCAGGGGCGCGCGGGAGGCGGTGGCTCCTCCCGGTGACGTCAAGAGCAGCTGGAGACGGGGGATTACCCCCTGCTGCTGACGTGAAGCCGGTGAACAATCGGGAACATTCGGTTGGAAGGGGGAATTCCCCGCCGCTCCCAGAGGAGCCCCCTCCCCGAGCCCCTCCTTACGCCCCTCCCCCCTTCCGGCTGGCTCTGGAGCCCGGGATGCAAGGCCGCGAGGAGGGGGAGACGGAAACGCGGCGCTGGGAGGCGGCCGCGCGGGCTTGGGTGGCGCGCGCCGCGGCACCTCGGCGCTGTGAGCGGGAGAAGGCGCCGCGGCGCGCGCCACTCTGTGCGTACGGCTCCAGCCCGGGATGCAATCACATGCTCGTCGGACAAACCTGCGCTGTCTCCGGGCCCTGCGCCGGCAGTGTACCTGCACGACGGCTTCAGCACCCTGAAGCAAGCCCACACGGGACTCTGTCGAACATAAATAATGTCTATGCGAGGCTGATGAAGGATGGAAAGCAGACTAAGCCCAGGGTCTGAAAGAGTCAAACCAGATGTAATCACTTATAATCGTACGAATTATTTTTCTTTCCGGTAAATCTGCAATTGTTGAGTTATTTCCACAGAGGACCCCACGTACAGTAGGTGAAATAAATTTTGTAGTATTCACAGTTTTTTCTGTTTTGATACCTTATCGGAAAGTGAGCGTTCCCAAAAGAAGAAAAATAACGCATGCTTAGAGAAAAGAGGCGGGGGGAGGGGGTTGCTAAAGAGGGAAAATCCAGATAATATTAACGTATTTGGCTCTTTGCCATTTCCCCAGATACAAGGACTTCATACACAAAATCTTTATTGCACTTTTATATGTATTGCGGGGTTTGTAGTTTAATGAACTGTTTCTAAAAGCTCCCTGGAAGAATGCTTGAATGTAAACGCACCAAAAATTACATCTCCCAGCCTGTTATTTTAGTCTTCACCAGGAAGACGGTCACTTGGCAATTAACAGTACTCCACTCGGTACAAGGAAAGGGAATTCATCCTTGCCAGACGCCTCGTCTATACCAGACACAATAACTCTCACGTTCAGTGCTGAAGTCAGCGTTGTCTTCCTCCTGCTGATGGGGAAACTGGTTCATGTGAAGCAACATGAGTAAGGTTACATACATCGGCGTTGGGTGCCACAGCTTGGCTGTACTAGATTCGAGATCAAACCTGATTGGGTCTAATCCAGTTTTACCATCATAACACATTCCTGCAGTAGTGTTGCTGCTGTTAGGGTCCTGAGTCTGCTCTAACCCGTAGGGATCCTTTGTGTAAAAGGACAAAACCCTGGTCGGTCCTGTGCCATCTTCACCATCTTTGCTATGCTTGAGCCCATTGTTGATGCCAGTGTGTCAATCCATCACATTGGGAGTCTTCCTCATTTTCATTGATCCTTTACCAAATATGATGACCCCCAGTGACTGGTCTCTCCCGTTAACATGTACATAGTATGTGAGACAGACTTGTCATGATGGCTTCTAAGGAACATGAATGGCTGTATGTTTTACAAGAGACATTTGGTCATTCTTCTGAAAGTCTGTGGTATAGTCAATATTCTTCTCCAACACCATCATTCAAATGTATCTATTCTTCTTTGGTCTTCCTTATTCATTTCCACAGCCAAGAAGTCAAAGTATGTGCTCCGTTGGGCCAGTTTGCTGTTAAAGTGTTAAAAAGCAAAGATGTCACCAAGAGAGCTAAGATCTGTCTGCCCCAAGTTAGGGTATTTCCAATCACGTCGTAAGCATGTGAATAAGGAAGACCAAAAGTAAATCTATTTCTACGTGTGATGTCCAACTAAGAAACCACAAAGAAAACCAGTGATAGATTTGAACACACGCATAAACACACAATTTACTATTTTCATTTGGGAAGACACTATACTCAATTTCATCACTTTTATTCAGTATTGTGCCAGAAGTCCTAACCAGGACAATTAGGCAAGAAAAGGAAATAAAAAGTTACCAAATTGGAAAAAAAATAAGTAGAACTACATATATTCACACAGATGATACCATGTTATATATAGGAAGTCTTAAAGATTATACACACACACAAAAACTATACTTGTGTAGATATACAACTCATTTTTATATGGTGATATGTCCTGTAACTGCTCAATTCATTTATTAGTTCTAATTTGTGTGTGTGTTATTTAGGATTTTATAGACATAAAATGATGTCATCAGGGATATATGAATTATATATTCATACACTGAAGGTCAGAAGTTCAAAACCACCAGCTACTCCATAGGAGAAACATAAGACTTTACAAAGAGTTTCTGTAAGAAGTTACAGTCTCGGAAACCCACTGGAACAATTCTTTCCTATCCTATCGGATTGCTCGCAGTCAGAATTGACTAGTTGGCAGTGAGTTTGATTTGGGTATGTCTATACACTAGCAATGAACGATCTGATCAGACAATTTTTAAGAAAACAATTTAATTTTCAATAGCATCAAAAATAATAAAATAATTTGGAATAAATTAGCCAAAGTATAAGAGTTATACACTGAAAACTATAAAACACTGATATATATATGTGTATATATATAAATGACACACACACACACACATATAAATGACCTAAATGCATGAAAAGGTATCTCATGTTTACTAAGTGAAAGATTGGATTTTGTAAAGATGGCAATGCTATCCAAGGCTATTGACATTTCATGCAAGTCCTATCCAAGTCCATGTGGTGTTATTGCTGAAGTGGACAAGACACAAAGGTAATTTTTTTGTATGATTCCATTTGTACGAAATGTCCAGAAAAAGAAAATCCATAAGCCAAGCAGCCAGGGATAAGGGGAGGGAGAAGTAACAAGTGATTGGTTAATGGTCTGAATCTTTTGGGGTGATAAAAAAGTTCTAGAACTAGATTGCGTTTCTATATGCACAAAGTGTGAGCAAACTTAATGTTATTAAATGGGATGCTTTAAAATGGTAAATTTTGTTGTATGTTAACAAAATTTTTAAAGTGCACAAAGGATTTATATAAACATTTCTCCATAGACCTACCAGTAATTTAAAAATACATGAAAAGATGATTACAATCATTAGCCATTAGGAAAATGCCATTGAAAATCACAAGGACATAGCACTTCACATGCACTATAATGACTATCATTAAAAAGCAGAATATGGGGAGAGGAAGTGAAGCCCTCCCACACTGCTCTTGAGAATGTTTCCATCAAAACTGAGTCTCAACCTGCCTGTGAAGTGGATCCAAAATACTCTGACACTAGCTTTTTCAAAAAAAGACTATTGTCACTGTGAGATCAAGAGCAGAAAGGCAGAGGGTTCCTGCCTCTACCTCCCTGAACAAAACAAAGGAAGGAAGAGAAGGGATTTTTATACCTCAGGGACAGAGGGAGGTCCAGGAAGAGAACACCAGGAATAGTGAATCTGAGTTGGGGGTGGTATTGGTCAGGAAACCTCATGTCTTCTCATGCTCTTTCTGCTCAGCTAACCACTAGACGTCATGCTTAGAGTGTGACAACACAGTGGAACAGTTTTATTTCGTTTGGTTGGGACTCAACAAGTTTCAGTCTAGGTACTCTTCAATAAACAGTCCTGTTTTCTGGCCTAAAATCACCAAGTAATCATTGGTTTCGAGCCTTAACTACTAAAAAAATACTAACGAAGTATACTAAAATTGTAAAATCCTGAATAATTCTTAACCCATTCTTCATTTATTTTATTATCAACCTACTCACTTCCCCTTAAATCACTTCAGTTAAAGTTACCTTAATCCATAACTTCTAAAAGAAAATAACAATGGCAATTTCATTATATTCTAACTAAAACTATAAAGCCAGACTATTACTATCACGGCAAGGAAAATGTATGGCGCTCCAGCTGTTCACTAAGGCCTAATGCCAACATCAAGAATGTAAAATGACACTGACGCTTTGAAAACAATTTGGCGGTTCCACAAAAAGTTAAGCATAATATATTCACATGACTCAGCAATTCCACTGTAAGAAGCATACACCCAAGGGATTGAAAACATGAGTTCTAACAACACATGTACATAGCAGCACTATTCATAATTGCTAAAAAGTGGACACAGTTCAGCTGATGAATGAAACAGATAAATGGTATTTCTATGCAATGGAATATTATTCAGCAATCAAAAGGAATGAAGTGATCATTGTGAGACTGGCACAGGACCTAGCAGTGTTAATTCTGTTGCCCATGGGTGGTTGCTATGAGTTGCAGCCAATGTGATGGTGCCTAACAGCAAACAACTTTAGGTGTATGCATTTAATTGTGTCTCCCCAAAGTATGTGTCAGCATGGCAAGGCCATGATTCCCAGTGTGTGGAATTATCCTCCACTGTGTGATGTGTTGTCAATCTTAACCTCTGCTTGTGGTTCATGAGATAGGATTAAGTTATCTTAAAGAGGATAGGGTAGTGTTTGTTATATCAATGAGGGTAGGATGGGATTTTCGTGGGGGTAGGATACATCACCTTTACCCAAGTCACCATCTGTTGGGAGCCGGTGGCCATTAAGGCCTTAGCCTCAGCCACGGAGCTGAACTTGGCTGCTTCCTAGTTAAGTGTTGTCTTTCATTTGCAAAACCCGTGGGGGACTGGCCCTGCCTGAAATCCCTGCCCAACCCTACCTCCACGTTCCTAGCTACGTGCTCTGTAGCACGGGCAGTTGTAAAGTTCACCTTTCCACCCATTGGTTAATAATGCCAGGCGCTCATTGGACTAAGATGGACTTTGCATTACGCCTAATGAACCTTAGTCTGCAGGCAGGACGTCTTTGAGAACTAGCGCGCCCTTTTACCTGCAGC